GAGGGAGGTGAAGGGGTGGGGACACGACGCTTGAGGTGGTGGGGCCGGTGCGCTGCAGGTGGAGGGCTGGGGGTGCGCTGGAAGTCGAAGGTTGGGCTTCCGGCGAGGGAGGTGGAGGGGTGGGGAGACGATGATGGAGGTGGTGGGGCCGGTGCGCTGGAGGGCTGGGGGTGCGCTGGAGATAGAGGGTCGCTGGAGGTGGAGGGTTGGGGATTTTGCCGGCAAGCCAAATTTGGGAAAGAAGAAGTGGAGAAGGGTTGGAGAGAGAAGCGGGAGAAGGGTTGGAGAGAGATTAGATTTGGAAAAAGAAAAATAAAAAAAGTTAATTATATATTTGGTAGCATGCTTGGAGGCACACGTGGTGCCTCTTTAGCATTTTCCATTTACAACAGAGCAGGAAAAATTTCCCACTCGACCAATAAGACGTCGGTTGCTGTTAACCATTTCGGGTTAAAAACCTCAGTCCAAGTCTCAACCACCCACTAAAGAAGCACATCCAGATCCAGGACTTTTTAACCAGATGTGCATCGTATTTGAAGTTCTTAATCAATCGGAAATTGCAGCTTGAGAGAGAAGGAGAGCGAAGGTTTTCGTTATTAATCGATCGGAACATTGCTCGACTTTGACCTAATCGGTACAGTACATCCGAATTTCATCAATTTCTTCATATATTATTTTCGTTATTAAGGTTTCAATCCATCTATACTCCTATATATCTTCATATCAATTTTCTGTTAATGTCATCAATTTTGTAGCTTCATCTCAAATTAAGTATAGGGTTTGTTTAGATTCATTTCCTGAAGTATACACTAATCAATCCATTTTTGGCGTGTTAGGTTTTTCTTGCTTTTTAATCACAAAGAATATTTTTTTGAATTAGCATATTATTAAATGGAATCAAATATCCAAAATCCGTAGGTTGAAACCCAAAACACAGTAGAAAGGCATAGACAAATCAGTAAAAAAACAGACCATTTCTCAATTTGTCCATGTTATCCTCGCACAGGGCATGCTAATCTTCTCTGTATTGTCCAATCACAAGTAGAAAATTAAGGTTAAAATTCTGATTTGTAATTCTTTTTTCAAGTGCTTTTAGACTTGAGGGAGAGGCAAATATTAGAAAAGAAGTTGATGGACAAAGGGCCATTAGGTTGCAAAGTTAAATCCAAAGGTTGCTGCTATTGAAAAATTTGAGCAACATGCATGACTTCTCCATAGTTCTATTTTTGTGTATAAATAGAACTCGGAGGGTTATCACTTGGGATTCTAATCCAGGAAAACAAAGATAAAGTTGGATTATCACTTGGGATTCCAAACAGTATTAGAAAAAAGTTGATGTTCTTCAATCTAGCGGTGTGATAACCTGCTTTGGCTCTTTCGTAGTGTTGTTTGTATCTTTTTATTATAACTGCCTTAAACTTTGAAAATTTGCTTTTATAGTTATGCATGCTTGAATATTTATTTTCTTGCCTATAATTTTCTCCTATTTAATTCAAATTTGTGACTATTGTGCAGGATCCTTCTATACTGTAGTGGCCTTTACAGTTGACAATAACTTTTGATGTTCATAAAGTTTGTTATATATGAAGCTTCTTGCAAGAGATTTAAGAGTATTTTGGGTTGAAAGAGCAAGGAAGAACTGAACTTATCTTGATGAAGCAACCTCTTGATTTGTATCTAAGCAGGTGTGTCCTTGAATTGCTTCATTATATAATTTTATATTATTTGTCTAAGCTTGCACTCTATGGAACCTACCTATCTAATAATATCTACGTATCTATCCATGCATCATTTTTTCTTTTAAGGTTTTGAGCTTTTTATTTCTTTATTTGTTTTGAAAATTTTTGCTTGGTGTTAGAGATAAAAGAAGGAAACAAGATTGAAGAAGGAAGCAGGATTGAAGAAGAAGGAAACCGAATCCCTTTGGAATTAGGTTTAGTATCTTTCCTAGTTTGATTTGGTTTAGTATTTAATATCTTTCCTAGTTTGTTTAATTCTGATTTTAGTAGGAATAGAAATTTCCTTATTTACTTTATTCTCTTCCTATATAAAGAGGGTTAGATCTTTGTATTCAGAACAAGTTTAACAAGAGAGTAATTCAGAAAATTTCCTCCAAAATAATTCTTTCATGGTATCAGAGCCAGTTTTGAATTCTTGAGACCTCAAACACGCTTCTTCCCCTGCCGGTGGGCATACACAATTCAATGCCTACCGGCGGGATATTGTGATTTTTTTTTTACGATGTCCTCCATTTTTTTAAGCCTATGAAAGAATTATTTGGGAGGAAATTCCTTGTATTTATCTCTTATGAAACTTAATCTGAATACAAAGATCTAACCCTCTTTATATAGGAAGAGAGTAAAGTAAATAAGGAAATTTCTATTCCTACTAAAATCAGAATTAAACAAACTAGGAAAGATATTAAATACTAAACCAAATCAAACTAGGAAAGATACTAAACCTAATTCCAAAGGGATTCGGTTTCCTTCTTCTTCAATCCTGCTTCCTTCTTCAATCTTGTTTCCTTCTTCTTCAATCCTAATTCTTTCACTTGGCCTTTGAATAAAATTTAATAATGATACCTGACACTCTAAGAAGTCATATTATTGTAGAGTGGGTGGTTATACTTATTATTGCCGGCTAATTTTAGATTTTGTTTTCGATATCTTAAAGGAAATGGATTCAATAAGTGGTTACATAGAAGATATCTTATATAGTTACATATATGAGGTGAGCAGATTCTAAATC